TTTGAATCTGCTTCAATGGACTTAAGAGCTCAAAGCATTGTCAGGGACCCCACACACCCATTCTATGGTCTGTGCCTAGGTTGACTATATCTAAAGTAATTTTCCCACGGCACACCTTACACTATGTCACGGCACACTAGTGTGCCGCGGCACAGTGGTTGAAAAACACTGGCCTAGGGAACAAAAACTATTACAGAATCTGGTAGTCCTGCTAGAAATACTTCAAAACCTCCTCCCAGAGGGGAGCAACAGAAACAGACCATAGAATGGGTGTGTGGGGTCCCTGACAATGCTTTGAGCTCTTAAGTCCATTGAAGCAGATTCAAATGGGAGAGTTAACAAGACAGGCTGACAAGCATAAACTTCATGTTCCCATTATTGCCGTCAGCACCTTGTTGTATCTAGAATAAACAGAACCAACTTTCACATCAACTGCACTTTAAACTCAAAACAACCCAACTGCATTTTTTCAAACAAGCAACAACAACAACCAGCTCCTGGTTTATGGGAACAGGTTGTCTAATTTGTGGTATTTTTGCTACTTCCCCCCCCCCCCCAATGGAAAGGCTACTGCTTTGCAGCAATCCGTGACGTTGTTGCAAAAGGACAAGGACTACCTCAACCGACAGAACATGGAGCTCAGCGTCCGCTGTGCTCACGAAGAAGACCGCCTCGAAAGGCTTCACATGCAGCTAGAAGACACCAAAAAAGCCAGAGAGGAAATGTATGAGAAATATGTCACGTCCAGGTAGGCCATTGCATTCATCCTTTTGGCACCGAGAGACGGTTCCTTCAGAAAGTCTGCGGAGATTCTCCATCATCCCCACCCCCCACCCCAAAGGCAACTGTTTTTGTTTTTCCTTGAGTAAGAAGAACAAAAGAATACAATCAGTTGTGATGATGGCAAAGGGCAGGGGACACTATCAATACATATCCTTCCATTCCCCCACCCTCCGCCAACCATCACAACTGATGAAGTTTTTGGATGAGAAACGAAACATTTTAGGATAGGATAGGGACAGGACAGGACCTTGGGGGTTTTCTACTCCAGCCCCCTGCTCAAGCAGGAGACCCTATTCCATCTCAGACAAGTGACTGTCCAGTCTCTTCTTCAAAACCTCCAGTGATGGAGCACCCACGATTTATGAAGGCAAACTGTTCCACTGGTTAATTGTCCTCACTGTTAGGAAGTTTCTCCTTAAATCCAGGTTGATTAGTTTATTTATTGATTGAATTTATATTGCCGCTTATTCGCCCAGGGCGACTCAAGTCGGCTTACAGAATATAAAACCACATTTAAAACAATCAAAACTAACAAAAAGAATCAAATAAATTAATACAGTACAATATAACAAAATCACCTCCTGCCCACCCCTTGCCCCGGCGACAGTAGATTACATGAGCCATTGAATGGGCTCCCTCTTGCTCTGGGTTCCCCAGGCCCACTGGCAGAACCAGGTCTTCAGTGCCTTCCAGAAGAATATTAGAGTGGGGGCCGTTCTAATCTCTAGGACAGTGTTTTTCAACCTTGGCAACTTGAAGATGTCTGGACTTCAACTCCCAGAATTCCCCAGCCAGCGAATGCTGGCTGGGGAATTCTG